AATGAGAACGCAGAATAGTACTATTGAGTTTGAGACAACCTAATTAGCTCGAGCTATATGAAGTACAAGGCAATGCCAGAAGAGGGATGTTCTCCTTTTTCTATTACGTTATACATCATTTGAACACAAGCTCGTCCGACTCTTTGTCATTTTGTCTTTGAAATACTATTAAAATCAATATTATACCGATAAGAAGGAACGTATGAAAGAAATCTAGCCTAAGACTTTAATACGAGAACGAAGGAAAGAAACAAGGGAAGCTTTAAAGAATCTTAGCTTTCTCTCGCGACTCGAAAAAAAAGTCGAGTACTCGTCGAGTCCGTGGTGACGAAAATCAATAGTACGAAGGAAAAAGTTCTGTTATAGAATTAATCTTTTCTAGTTTTTGAGAATGGGCCTGAAATAAACAAACTTCGTCATCGTCTATATCTGAATTATTGATCGAAATTACTTATACTAACCAGATTTGTTTACAAAAACATTCGCAAAACAAATCCTTATTCCTCATAGAGTCAAATTTAACCACTTATGTTCATACACTTTCAAACACAGAAATTATTTTTTAATAAATTTTTTAATTTTATTTGAATAGAAAGCAATATATTTAAATTATATATTTTTAGATTTATAGATTTTTATTTTGATAATTACATAGTTATCTAATAATGCAACATTTTTAGTCACTATTAGTCAAAAGTATAACAATAACTGCAATTAAAACAAAATAAATAATAACTATTTCTCTCTCTCTCTCTCTCTCTCTCTCTCTCTCTCTCTCAATCTCTCTCTCTCTCTCTCTCTCTTTTCCTCCATCTCTCTTTACATAGGTAACAATAGTTGAAAATATTATTAAACAATTAAATAAAAATAAAAATATTCTTTTAATTGCTGATTTGTTTAAAATTAATTATTATTTACTTTCTTAAAAAATTCTATGATTAAATAAGCATGATTTCAAGCTATATTTTATTATGAATATTATATTCTAACGTAGTAATTGCGGGCACTGTTTTATAAAAAATTTTGAAATTATTAAAAATATTATAGATTACTAGTAACCATTGTTTAAATTTTTCAAGAAATGTTTTATTTCTTATCAGAAATCATTTTAACATATTTAATTTTAAATTCAATTTCCTTCAAGTTCAATATAATGTTGATTAATATCTATTTATGCGAAAATATAAAAGTATATAGATTATTAAAGCAATAATCTCAATAATCCTTGAAGATAGGTAATATTCGTAATATAAGTAAACTGTAATAAAAAAATTATGTAAATGTAAAAAAAAGTAATATTATGCTGAAATCATTAATTTGATTAATTATTAATATTTAAGTTGTTTATAACAAGTATAATATAAACAGTAAGTTCAAAATTAATAACTATAATCGTCAATAATACTACGTCAATTCAGAAATGTTTAAATAGAACTTTAAATATAATTTATAATTAGTTAAGTTTATTACTGATATCAGTGTTTCCAAGTTATTTTATACGCTAGGAAATGTAGCATAATAATTTATTTAAAAAACTTTTGTTTGTAAAATAATTAAAATTTTAAAATATTTGAGCAAAAATTTGATGAAATATTATATATAATATGAATTTCTTTAATATGTAGATGATGAATAATAATTATACAATGAGATAAAAAATCTTCACAAATTAAATACTACTTTCCTGTTTTACTTAATATTATACTTAAATATTAAAAAATATTACACTATTATATTAAATTTATGAAAATTCAAAAATTTAAAAACTTATTTCAAACGTTCGTTACGCTAAAATATAAATCATATATAATTTATAAAAGTCATGTGGAAAATACGAATAATGTATCTCTATTAATTATAAACTATTAGTTTTCATTTCCACAAGTTCGCATGATGTTTGATATTGTATTGACTAGGGACTTGTCATAATTGAATAGTTATAATAATTTATGATTTGGTAATATATTGATTAATATATGTAAATTATCATTAAATAATAAGCGCTTTATGCATATGATGGATTTCAACTTTTTATATAATTTGTTATGCAACATTTTCAAAATTCAAGACATATAATTTGATTTATTTTTGTAATTGAATAGCAATTCATCTACGTATTAACGTATGCAAATTTAAAAGCGTTAAGAGAAAAGTTTGAATATATACTAATCTTTTTTTAATATGAGATAGGCAATTGTAAATCCTGATAGAGAATTATGTTCAAAAAAGCTACAATACTATTTTAAAATACAATGAAATTTCGTAATAAATCTGAAAAGAATATTGTTATGATAGAACCATTTTACCATTTTAGGTTAAAAACAAGAAATATAAAAATTATTTTATATTATAAGATTTCTTTACATTGTAATATATTAAAATTCGTCAATTAAAATATCATTCAAAATAAATATATCAAACGTTACAAATAAAATTAGTACATAGATTAAGTTAAGTTTACTTTATTTTTAGTTAAATAATATAATTTCATAAAAAAAAGAAATAATACGCATTGTATTATTTTTAAAACGCTGTTTGATTTAAGAAGCTCATTAGCTTCCAAATTCTAAAAGATAGAATTTAGTTAAAAGCATTATTTGTTTGTTAATATTCTTATATATCTAAATTTTAGTTTTATAATTTTTGTATTCACCTTATAAATGATTGAATTAAAATGAATAAATTAAATAGAATAAATGTTTTACAAAGTTTAAAATTATATGCAATTCAATAATTAATATTATAATTAATTATTAATAATTATAAGTACAACATAAATATTTAGTTTATCAAATTTTACTTAAAAAAAAATGACTAATGAATTATTGATATTGAAAATATAATTTTCAAATTTTTAATTATATAGATAATAAACCAACAAAAATATTATAAATAAAAATTATCTATTATTTATAAAATTTAAGTATCGAAGAAATTAAAATATTTAATTTAATAAAATTTTTAATGATTGATACATCAATTCTGTAAGTAATATTTTAAAATTAAAAGCATATTTCAATAATACATTTTCCAATTAAATTAATTGAATAACTATTTTTCAGCTTAAACTTATTTAGAATCGACTAGGGGACATAATACAAAGTATAATCATTTCCAATATAATTATTAATTAAATTTATATTTTTGAACATGTCCAATTTTGAAAAAAAAAAATAATTACTGGCATTTATGAATTAATAATTATGGCTGCATAAATATTATAATTAATAATATTTTGTGCAGCCGATTGAAAGTTCTATCAACATTGACAATATAATAAAATAATATTATAAAAAAAATAATAAAATAATATGTAAACAATTAAATACAATTTGGTTAATTATTTTATTTTTTATTGAGACATTTTGGAACTATTAGAGACAATTAGAATCAAGATTTAAAAAATCTTATTTATAGCTGTACTCGTGTTGAAGTATATATATAAGTATAGATATATTGATAAATTTCGTACTGCTATTATAGAATAACTCTTTAAGAATTTAGAAAAAGCTGAAAAGAAATTGTTTTTTAATATTCTTTAAAACCTAATGCTGTTTAAACGTAATATTTTTTAAAACTTAATATCATTATGTATACAAACTATTTCAAAACTGCTTTTATGAACAAAAAGTTTTGAATATGACATTTTTAGAATTCACAATTTTTTTGTTAATCATAACAATGACTTTAGTTAATAGCTAAAGTATCTGAATGTGATCCTAAATATAAATTTTACACAAAACAAACATGCTATATAATATTATTTTGCTGTATTAAACATACAATTTTATAAACGCATATGTATATAAATTCAAATCAATAATTTTGATCGATATGATATTTATTTTATTACAAAATATTTATAGAATTAACAAGAATTTGAATACACAAAAGTTATTTAAAAATTGAATATAAGATACGGAATAAACAATATTACTTATTAAATTGCTAAGATGAGTGAATATGTATTTTATATGCGCTATATATGTTATAATTTACATATTATTATATTAAATCATTATACATTATTTATATATATATATATATATATATAAATATATAAAATAAAAATAAAATAATAAAAATATATATATATATATATATATATATATATATACAAACATGTAATAAAGTTATTTTTCAATATTCAGTCCTCTTATTTGTAATAATATATAATGCTAAAAAGTAAATTTATTTTACATTTACATAGAAGGTGTATGATTATATGTAATATATAATTTTTATGTTCTATAAATATATGACTATATAAATTCTAATTAAAATTCTAATTTAAGATAATTGATGTATAAATAAAAGGTTTATACATTTATATTCTATATGAGATAAATTCTGAAAAATCTTAAAAGTAAGATACCTTAAATGGCACCGTTACAAATTAATTTCTGTATTCTATTATTCTATTTGTTAAGTATTCTATTAATAATATAAATACAATGCAGCATAATTTTATGTTTCATAAATAGATTTTTTAAAGGGGGGGGGGGAGTATAATATGGATTGTTTGTAATTTATATTTCTATTATGTATAAAATTAATGTATGATACCAATTCGATGAATACCAATGCGATGAATACCACAGCCTAAAGCAATCATTCCCTTTTGAATAAAGCATTTGGTAAAATAATACAAAGTATAATAATTATATTTTTATTGCAAATAAATGCAACTAATAATCATTAAATTGTTAATATTGTAATAATATGGTTAATACCGACTATTATCAGTTGTATAAACATTAAACTCTAAATATAAAAACGATATGCTTTCTATGTGATTTTTCAAAAATTAAAAGTATATCCATTTCAAAATTCCTTTAAAAGTGAATCAAATTTCAAATTTGGCTACATTACGCTTCGGCTCAAAGACATTACATCTTGGTCGATAGCCATAAGTAAGCCTTATAGAAAGTCAGCTCGAATCCTTTAAGAATATTCATAAATATGTGGAAAGAATTGAATTGAGGATAATAAGGACTCACCCATTTCATCTATGATGGGTGCCATACGCAGCGTAACTCCGACAAGAAGCAACGACATGGCCAGAAGGAGGCAGGCCGTAGCGACGATGGTCCAGCGTGCCCTGGGCGGTAAGTCGTCGACCTCTAGGCCTTCGACATCCACGAGGCTCTTTTCTAATTTAGGCCGCTTGCGCTTTCTACGAGGACGGTGAAAGCGTTCGTGAGAATTGAGTCTGGAATTGCCGACGTGACTATCAGCTGCTGGCGGACTGTTAAAGGTATCCTCATCACCGGGCATATCGGCAAAGTTGAACGTCAGATAGTCATCTTCGTCGTAATGACTTTTTCTGTCCATTAAAAAATAATGGCAATGGGTATAACAGTATAGGGGAAGCTTATCGATTATAAAGTAAACGCCAAGACAAATTGCATGTAAAGATCGATATTCTTTTTAATTCAGTTCTTTGTGCATTTCTTATTCTCTTACTCAAATACATATTTTAATTCAAAGAATACAATGCGCAAAAATTATATTTAAATATTATTAGAATTAAATAAAGATATAATTTGTGCTATTATATATATTTATATTATATTATATAGTAATATCTTTTAAAATAAAATGATTGGTATATCACTGTAAATCTAAACAATATATGTAAATTAATATTAATATAATCAATAATGCTTACAACATTTTTAATTGAATAAGTATTTAATTATAAAAGTGCTTGTTAAAAATTTTAATTTTATAACTAATAAAATTTATAATTAAAATAATATCACAGAAAAAATCATTTGTCAATAATTTTGGTTTAATATTTCGTACTTTAATATATTTTTTAGGTTGAATTTATCTTTCGAAATTTAAAGCCAAAATAAACCAAAAATTTTTGTATGAATACATTATAAATACATCGAATCATTCTGTAGATCAGTATTAGAAAAAATTATAAATCATATTATATTTTTTGAGAAAATTACAATTTATATTTACTTTCAGCTTATACTTACACTCCTTAATTAAATTTTATTTTATAAAATTCAATACCTTAATTGAATATTATTATAGTCATTTATTCAATTTCTAAAGTGTTAATTTAAAATTTAAAAAATTATATTCCATTTATTTCTAAAATATTTATTTAAAATTTTCAATTTGGAATTACTTAGCAACATAATAAATCACAAAGTAATTTAACTATATTGTACATCAATATAACAAGAAAATATTTTGACAAAAATGTAAGTAATTATTATGATAGAATTTTCTTTAAAAATATGATCCAATTATTTATTTACTGAATATATTTAAATAATTTAAAACAAAATAATGATTTTTTGCTTGGATTATTCACTTACAAATTTTGTTTGTAAATCGCTAAGAAATTAGATTTTTGGTCTAAAAACGATCTGACAATAGCTTAGGAATTATAGATTTAAATAATCTGAATTTTATAAATGCAAGCTTAAAAAATTTTTATTATTGATTTTGAGTTATATTATATTATTTCTTATAAATTATAATACTTTTTTCAGTAATAAGTATAGTCACTGTAATTAATTATTGATACAAATAAGAATAGAATTTTCATGTTAATGATTTTAAACATATATTAATTAGATGCTTAAATATATATTGATACATATATTCTTAATTAATATAAATAACATTGATCTATAGTATGTATATTTCAAGTATTTATATCAATGACATAAAATATGATAGTTTTGAAAACTAAATTATATTTACTATTTAAAGTATATCTAAGGAAATAATAATTTCCATTAAAAAATACGACTAAGTATATTTTTAAAATTTGCTTACATAAGTAATTTGATATATTTATAGTTATTATAAAATACTAAACCATTACAAAATAATTGTCAATGAAATCTTTTTTATTTAAATTTTAGATCTTTATTAGATTAAACTAAATTATATACATTACTAGAGTAATAAAATCTGTATAATTTATCTGTAATTTTTTATTTTTTAACAAACATTACATTCTAAAAAGAGATATTTAATTTATAGAGTGTTTTAATGAAACTCAAAAATTAATAAATAAATCAAACATATCCTCAAAGTTTCAATATATTTTAATAAAATATAAATAGCTAATGAACGAATAAGCTGCTTTATTAATTATTAAATACTTCTATTAGTTTATATTAAGCATTATTTGCGTTTAAATTATATTGCGATTGTGCGATTATAATATTCTTATTCTATTAACCAATCAAAAGAATATACTTGTAGAATATCTGGCAAAATTCAACTTACCGTTTTCCTTAAGTACATTTTTTTAATAAACCTTTTTTGTATATATAAACATACGATACATTCAATATTAAATAGGCTTGCATTGGTTTTTTTTAAAAATGATACATTTTATACGATAGATTAAGTTTATTAAAATAAAATAAATTAATATTAATAAATTAATAAGTTAATATATTAATTAATAAATAGAATAATTAAGTAAATATGCTTGATTCGTATTCTCAGAATTATAAAACTTCTTCGATACTATAGTGAACTTGAACATACGACTAAACCTAATGCACTCAGAAATAAAAGTTAAGCGAAAATTCTTACAAATGAGCGGTGCTATGAGAAATATAGCAGGCACTTTGGTGCAGCTTTTGATATTCGTCGCTCAGTGCTTTTCTTGTCCTTTCGAAATTCATAAGCGCGTGATCATGTTCAGCATCGATGCCTAGAAGTTCGAATCTGGGATCTATAACTGGAGATAGCACATGAGAGTTTCGAGAGTGTCTCCAATGCTTTTGCCCATCGCATGGAATATCCACAGACTTTTGACGGCCTTTGCCTGATAAAATGATAATGGTGCAATTTTATAATAATATAAAATATTATGTATATATATACGCTATGATAAATATGTTATTATATTAATTTTTAATAATTGAATTAGGTTGTACTTTTACTTTAATATAAAACAAAATAATTATTTTTTGCTTGAATTATTCATTTGCAAAATTTATTTATGCTACCTAGTTAATCGCTAAGAAATTAGATTTTTCATCTAAAAACGATCTGATTGTAGATAATATAATATAATATATAATATAATAATATAATAACGATCTAATATAAAGCTCATTAATTATAGATTTATAATGAAAATTGAATATTTTATATATAAGTTAAAGAATTACATATTTAAATTTATTTCATATATATTTAATAAAATATAATATAATGAATAATAATATAATAAAATGTCATCATAAAATAAGAATTTATACATATTAGATACGGTTTTTTATATATTTTTTCATTAATTGTTACCATAATGATCTGATTAATACCGAGTATTAAGTTAAAATCAAATTATGTCAGTTTCCACATAGTACCATTTATTCTTTTCAATTGCAATTTATTTATTTAGTAATTTATCAATATTTCCAAAAAAAAAGTAGAAAATTTCCCTTCAAACATAAGCAATGAATCTATTAAAAACGAAAAAATGAAGATAATTGATATATAAGCAGGAACTATATATATATTATGACTTTATATGCTAAAAATTCTTACTTACAAATAATTTTTATAGTTAATTTTTGAATAAATAATTGCACGTTTAGCTAAAAGTTTTGAATGAATTCTTGTTATTTTAAAAAAGCAATAAATAAAATGTATAAAAATATGGTTGAAATTGTTTTTCAAATTAAAGAATGGATGGTATAACAGGAAACACATTGTTGTAATATATTAGATTATATATCATTATTTCACAGAGATAAAGATCATTTCTACCTCTTTATGTTCTTATCTATTCTTATTTACTTTTTATTTCCACACAAAATACGTAAATATTATAATTGTTTTACATAGTACTATAAATAGATGAAAAATTTTAATAACATTACTTTTAAGCTATTTAAAGGACTTTTAAATTAATTTTTTATAGTAAACAGCTATTTAAAAAGTAAAAATCATGGATTTATCTCATTTTCTAATCACTATGGCTCTTGTTATTTTATTTCCTTGATTCTATCAAAATGCGGATATCGGTTATGGTATGGAAAATTTTAATAAAAAAATTTAAATTTACAATCTAATATAATAAAATACAGGAATTGAAGTCAAATTATTAGAAGTATATTTTGTAATTTCATATGTAACACTTTTATTATAACTGTAAAAATATTTAAAATACATTAAATATAAATATTTATTTAAATTGAACGATCCAAAGTTGAAATGAATAAAGAGATTTTTTTAATATATTTCTGTATTATAGAAAGCTATTTATAAATAGAGATCTTTCAATTATGTACACTAAATAATTGAAATGTTTATATATACATGAAATGCTATATTAAACTGCTTAATAAATTACGATAATTAAGATGATATTTAAATGAATGAAATAAGTAATTTATTGTATGAATTAAATAAATTAATTTGCCTAATAAATATTAAAAACCTATAATTAAAATTGTTTACTATTTCTGTTAAATTTTTTCAACGATATAAATGAGTTTAGCACTATAATCAGGGTTTTTCAATCAAAATTATTTACATACAAATGTGGATAATTAAGATCTCATTTCCGTACATTTACGATAAGGAGATTTAATATTTAAATAGTACAAACATCATTACTGATGCACAGAGTCCGTATCTTAATTACAAAGTATACAGTACATCTCAAATGCCTTCTGAAGCAAATTTACAATATCAATTTAAAGATAAATAATGAAATCAGGTTAGAAATATAAATCAAGCCAGCGCCGCAATCTATTTTATTCTCGGAAATTTAGCAGATCATTGTAGTGCACAACATCCCTTTCGTGTACTCGTTTGTAAGGCCACTTTGTGATTATAGTTCTAAATCTAAACTCAACAACACTTATACATTAGAAGATAAAAGTGCTTGACATAGTATGCAATTTGTCTATATCAAGATTATTGACTGTATTACGAGCGCGCTGATCACTGATTATTTATATATTGGTGATAAATGATAAATAAAAAATCAAAACAGAATTTTATTTAGTCTTAAATATACTAAAAATTTTCAAATCAATCTCATAATAATTTAGTAATTTGTTTACTGATTGCGATTGCCATACAAATCTCTATCAAAACAATATAATATTGTTGCTTAAAATAAAGCGATGATAAGATTTTGCTACGAGAATATGTTTTATGTATTTTGTCAATAAATGAAATGTGTCAATTTAATTGACAGCAGTTTTTCACATTAATATGATTAATTATAATATCTGTCCGAATAACAATACTGAAAGTATTTTATCAACGGGAGACCATTAAAGAGAGCGATAAATTATTCTGAGATTGAAAAATAAATTGAAATACTAATAACTATTTTTCTTGGCATTAAAACCACACTATGTGAATTTAGAAGCATTGTATATATATATATATATATATATATATATATATATCAATTATATATCAATCGTATATAATCAATATATATGATTAATGATTTCAAAATTCACATTATAAAAATTTTCTTCGATTTCGAGGCAACTTTAATTGTATTTTACATGTAAAAATTAAAAAAAATTTAAATGATAAAAAATTATATAAAAAGTAGTACGTAAAAAGCATTATTATTATTAATGAATTTTTATACCATAAAAATGTTCCATTCATAAAAATAGACGTACATTAGATATTTTATTTGATTCATAGAAATTAATTTCATAGATTTGCAAAAACTACTAAAAAAAATGAATGATTTATTAGAGGTAGAAAAATATTTAATAAAATTTAATTATAGAAAATTCATTTATTGACTATATATCTGGAATAATTTTGTCATTATTATTTGAATATTTTTATTCTTTTTATAAACTAAATATACACAATTTATATTACTTCGCTGCTATAATTTTATCACATTAAATTGTATATATCTTTACAAAGATATATTTATATATTTATATAGATATATATGTTTTCTATTAAAGATTTTGGAAAATTTATTTAAACTCGATTAATAAAAATGTTACTTTTTTAAGCGGGTATTTCTCAGTTTTATCGACCTTTCCATTACTTACTGAGAAAAGAATCTAATAATTATTATATTAATACAATGCCAAAGTTAAACTACGTCTATATAAATTCACATAAATGATATCAATTCAATTTCATTTATATAATCACAAGTTACTTTTTTATTAATAATATTTATTATGAAACATAATTTATGCAAATAAAATCATAAATTATGCACTTTGATGAAAATCCACAAGCATATAATTTATTAATTCAATATTTTCTGTTCTTGATAGACAATCTCTTTACCAATATTTAGGTTCATATAAAATAAAACACATATTACATTAACTATTTATAATGTGTTAAAATTCAGAGAAAAAAATTATATATAAAAATTCATAGAATATACACATACAATTCCTGAAAAATACCTTATATATACAAAAAAATGAGCTTGTTCATTGATATTAATATATAGATACAAGACAACTATATGCAAATATATTAATTACATTCCTTCTTTTTTTATGATATATAATATTTTAATTATTTATTATTATTCAGCATTTGTAATGAAATTTACGTTATAATATATCTTCCATTATAAAGCACTAGTATTTTATAAATGTATGTATCTTTACAATCATAATCATAATTTAGTAATTAAATTTTCTGTATTTCTATTCATATTTATTATATATTTATATTTATAATAATAATGGTCATTCCATTTAAGTAACTCAATGTCTAATAAATTGTACAATACAAATCTCAAATATCTTAATGATGCGAGTCTGTAATATAGGTCATCGAAAAAAAGGAAATAGCAGTGTAATAGCATAGTACACAACGTTGAATTAATCATTTCATCTGTATGCCCCTTTGTTTTCATTAATTACAGTCAAATAAATATGCTATATCATAAAAATGTATCAGAGTAAATATACTTATGTTAATTAAAAATGTGTATGTGATGTGTGTGTGTGTGCGCGCGCGCGCAAAAGTATGTAAATCTATTAAATATTCATTCTATTAAATACGTAATATTTTTGAAAGTTTTAACTTTAAATAAATTTTTTCTCATTTTATATAGTTAATTCTATATGTATATCTCCTAATCATAATTATTGATTATACTTTTTGCTAAACAATACCGTTTATTATAATTAAGTAATAAAACAATTTCTAAATAAAAATCTGTTTATATTTCTTATGTAATCAATGTGGATCAATGCTTTTTTAAACTTATCTTCACCGACGGATTAAATTAAAAAATCGCACACACATAAATACACACACGCACACACATTATAATGATCTTTAAATTTCAAACTTTAGTTGTTCTATAAATAAAATAAGACAGAAAAGAGTAAGCACCTGCGAGTAAAGTGTCCCTTGATGTAACTTTAAGCAACTATTTTCAGCCTGACTAAATTCGACTTCTTCTACTTCGTGACTGAAATGCTACAGTTCTATCCAACTCTTTGTTAAGTTCTATATCTAAAGTAAACTATTTCTTATAATAAAAATACAAAACATATTACGAAAATAAATACAATAAATATTCCAATTTGAAATTATTTTCGATGATCTATTCTATATCATAAAAATAATAAGCATAAAGTGCCGAATTAACAAAAAATATTGAAGAATTATATTTTGAAAACTATCACAAATTACTCACTTATACGTATATATTAGTATACATATACGTCTACATTTAAATATTGTTTAAAAATATAATTATTTATAATCGTATTTAATCAATTTGTGTAAAATCTATATTATTAAAATAAAATAATATTGACTTAATTATCTACTTTTTTTCTTTATCCTTATTATATTTACCTTGAAAATATATTATATATATATTTTTTTATATACGTGCTATGCATATTATATATTTGAATTATTAAGCTAATAGTAATGTATATTTATATTATTATCACTGTATATTTTTGAAACGGAAGGTTTTAAAATGAGAGTTAATATATTATAGTCAATATAGTTCATCTTATTCAAGAACGTTTTAGTATTTTGTTTAAAGTAGTACATCCAGCAATTTCAGCAAAAATTTATTAATATACAATTTATTTGATATAGTAAAATATAGCGTAACATAAATAATATAGTTTAAAAATTGAAGTTTTATATTAAATTAAAATTTGAAGTTAAATAAAATTGTAAATGTAAAAAATTGAAAATAATATTCAATTTTACATAAAGTACGAGATCTAAATTATTACAATTATTAATATTTAATTCATAAATTAGTTTATTATATTAAAAAAAATGATTTTACTACATAAATTACTGATTAAAATGTAAGTATGACACAGTGGAGTGAATATTATAATAGAAGGTTCAACAATTTCATGAATAGTAGTAATTATGACGTCATTTTCAAGTTTTCAAATTAATAAACTAGTCTTTCCCATTAAATATAATAATAATATTATGATCCAATAATGAAGAGAAAACAGTGAATGTATCACCATAAAGTGTCATTCATACTTGCTTCTAGAAACTATAGGCACATTGAGATAAGAATCGTTGCAAAGCCATAGAGTTACAAGTATCGCTAAAGACCCGAATGTTCAATTTTAACTTACCATGTGCTTGCTTATGATGGTGTGCAATAGTCCTGTGGATGGAATCACCGCAGGGTGCTGAGCCATGGCGTCGATGCTTCTGCCCCTGGCGTCTCTTCTTCTCATGATAATGCAGACGACGATGGTGATGATGATGCCTATGTTTTTGGTGCTGATGATGTTGCTGTTGTTGCTGTTGTTGCTGTTGTTGTTGTTGTTGTTGTGGTTGTTGGTGGTGGTGCTGGCATTGATAAAATTGTTGCTGATGGTGATTCTGGGAAGAGGAGAGCGTCGAGGAGGAGGTGAGCCTCGGGCGCCTAGGACTGGGTGGGGCACTGCCAGCGCGTCTCGTCATTGCAGCGAGTGATGAAGAGGCCTTCATCGCTTCAACTTTTGTCTCCACCAGGGCCGCGAGTACAGCCTCGAGGCGAGCCACCTCCATCCCGCTGGATGCATCCTCCGTCGAAACCGCTTTGTCCGCGACATCGGAACTCGACGGCATTACCGTCATAATATAACAACGTGCAAGCACGTCACATTACCTCTGTAGTACTCTCCTCTGTTGCAGGTACTCACTCGAGTCGTCATGCACTTCCGTACGCAGCTCACTTGATGAGATTCGCGTCATGTCCAACTACCGATAACTACACCAGGCTTTTATTGCTCGACAGATCAATGACACTTTTGTAAATATCGTAAGAATCGCTATCCCATTGGCCATCTTAACAGGAAGCTTTTTGTTACTCGCTGCTTTCGTACAACGATATTACCTTAATATATATGTTTACTAATCTACTACAAATTCAAGACGATAGATCTTGGAAAGCGTTATTCGGCTTACAATGATAAATCATTGTTCTTGGTATGGCAATGCTCTACTGTAGCGTGTTGTTGGCCGGTGACTTTAAGATGATTTTCGAATTTATTGTATTCATCGTCATTCACAATGTGAATAGCAGCTATTTCTGCATATTTGTTCCGTCTAAATAACAAAGGAAACTTAACTTCGAACTTAATTCATATATAGAAATTGAGTTAATAATTCGTTTTAGACAATAGTATGATAAAAACAAGTAATCAGCAGCTTCCATATATAGTTATTAATAATATTTTGGATGTATGCTAAATAAATTTTAAATCCTTTTAGAATAATTGGTAAGAATTATTTATACATTTTTATTTAAAAACTATAAATAACGATAAATAATTATAACTAAGCGCTTATTATTAATTTTATTAATCTTAATAACAGAATAATAAACTTCTAGTCGTAAAATTAACATATCTTGTTATTATAAGTTGAAATTAATGACGCTCGTTTAAAAAAAATTAATAATTTAATATAATTACAGAAATAAAAAATCGTAGGTATTAGATTATATTAAAATAAATATAACATATTTTTAATACAAAAAAAATTAAATCATAATTAACGTTTAATGTATTTCCTCTAAAAATATCGCTACAGAATTTATAACTATGAACTGTATAATGAAAATTTTAAATAATTTCAACGTTCATTTAGTACAGCAATGTAAGAGAAGAAATTTAATACAACTATTGCGTTATGTGAAATATTTTTATACGCATAAATAAATATTATGTATTTCGTGTGGTTTAAGAATTTATTATCGTATTAAGTATATGTTCTTATGAATGATTAACTATTTTCAGCATATTTAACCTCATGATTCAAGATGAGGACACCTAATCTCTTAGTCTGACCTGCTTACATACTTGCAAATATAATTTACATTTACAAGTTATACTCTAGAGATCTTTTGCAAAGCAAAGTTATTGCTCAGATTTTATATTAATCATTATGTTAGCATAAGAAGTATTCATCATAATATTATGAAACTAAATAATTTACATAAACATAATCTCTAATATTAAGATTTATGAATTAATTAATTAAAACTATATGGAAGTTGAGGTTCAGATTTGAAATTATTAAAACATTTTGATTTATAACGATCCACTTTGATTTTATGAATTGTTAATGTTATTAATATAACATAGTGCATTTTTATAACGGTTCTATTTAATACACGTACATACGAAATTGTTTAGATTTATCTGAATATATATATCATGTTACGATAATATGAGCAAAATACAACTCGATATAATACATTATTTTATTATAAATAAAATAATTAAATGTCCTTAAAGAAACTTACATGAAACATATCACTTCTTTAACATTCTATCAATATTTATTAGAGATAGCTTATATTTAAATTCGAAATAAGTTTTTTAAATTAAGCTTTTAAATCATCTAAATCTATTATATGTTATATAGAATATTTTTAAAATATATTAATCGTCACTTAATAATCAAATAGAATACTCGGCTACTTTAGTAACAGTATAAGTTTCCAAAATTTCATTGACCTTCACTGCATGGATTATCATTACATTTTTATAATATTAAGAAAGACTATGTGAAAATATGTTATCTTTATTATCATTGACAGCATAAATAAATAATAAAATATTTCTTTTCGTTTGAAATAGCCTGTGGTGAGAAGCGGAATTACACGAATAATTCAATGCAATCTACATGACGCAGCAATTCAACGACATACTTATGTATACAAACTGCAAGTACATATCCACATACTAAAAAAACTAAAAGCTCGAGGAAAAAGCAGACGTATTTTCAATAATTCCACGAAAAGAACAAATTGGGTAAACTCATTGTAATACAATTTTCATGTATTGGTATGTGGTAAGTTTTCTAGTCCAATTGAAAAAGAAGATATAGGGAGGCAGAGATTATAAATTTATTATACCAAATCTTGATTTGCCAACAATTTACAATTTTTACCAACAATTTATGATGTAAAATTGAAACAAAGATAAACAAGTTATATGTTCATATTTCCGTCCGTGAATCCAGCGAAAACATCGGGATTGAAATAGAGAAAAAAAGGTTGCGGACGATAAGCTTGATTGCTTGTGCACTTGTATTGGTGCATGCGCACCTGTACGAAGGCGCGTATTCTTTACGCGATCGTTATCGTTGCGTATCTCTATGTTGCTCTCTCATGTCGCCTTCCTTTTACAAAATTGAGGAATTCATGACTCTATTCGTAGAAAATATGTCTTCTTTTATAAGATCTAAGATTCTTTTGCTACACGGAGAGACATGTAATAGAATTTTTTAACAATACTAATAACAATGTCACTGATATAATAATAGAAAAGCATTCTATTTCTCCTAAATTTGCATATTAAAAATGAAAATATACATCATTCTTTCGTGCGACTTTATTATACAAATTATTGCTACAAATTAACACTGTTTATTATTTTATTACACATAAAATAGAATTTAGCATAAAAACAGTGTTACTGCGCAATATTCATAAAAAAAAACATGCACGTAAAATATGTATAGAAATTAAAAAAATAATTAAAATATTTAAAAATTCATAGTTTCCAAAGTTCCAATTTTTCAAATATAAAAATTTTCATCTCTATCTGCTTTATTCAATATTTAAAACAATGTTAATGAGAGCTTTTCAAATATTTAATATATTAGAGATGAGTTTATCCGAACTACGTAAGAAGATTTATACCAAATTGCTATTGAATATGTTTGTTTTGCTTGCACAGATCAAATTTTCAATCCTTTATACCTATTAGAATCCACCACAAATTAAGAATTAATTCAATAAAAAGAAGTAATAAAAAAATTGTGCATACAATTTCCGTATTGTAACCTTAATTAATAAAAATTAGATAAATACCAAATTATAATCCAATACTTTTAATATTTACCATATTATTAAATGATCTTATAATTACAATTAATTTCATCAAGTCAATCTTTTTTTTTGTTTAAAATTAACTTTCTGAAAGTAGAACACATTCTGATCAATAGTGAAACTAATCACAAAAACGACAATCAAAGCTTAGAATGAAAATATTTATATTACGACATTTAGTATATTGTAGTAAATTTATAGTAAATATCAAATTAACTTAAATTTAATATTAGTATCATTATAATATATTGCAATAATAGTTTTAACGCAAATATCATAAATACTTTATAAGATTTATATAAATATTCATCTAATAAACTGTAAATTTATATTAAACACGTAATTTATTATTTCTTATTAGTACAATATATAAAATAAGGATCAATTTTATATCATTTTATAATCCTTTAATCTACTATATTTATGATAATTAATGTACCAGCGTTGCATAACATTTATCTATTAATATTTCAATCTTACGTGTAGAAAGTTTGTATAAGTTACGGGCATAATAAGAAATGTAACGAAGTTGTAAGGAAGAACCATCAATTAAACTGGGTCACAGGTAAAAGCGTAATTGCAAATTGTAATAAGACATTAATATACGAGAATATAAAAAATGAATAATAAAAAATATACCTCGATGTTACTATTGGCGCCAGACATCAGGAGTAAAAAAACAAAGTTAACTATTAATTATAAAAATTTGTATCTATTTGTATGATAATATTACATAATAACTTATATAAATAATTTTAAAGTCTTATAACACACATCACAATTTCTCACTGTATAAAATAAATAAAACACTATAAATATACATAATAAATTAATAACTAATAAATAGAGTTTTCAATACGCGTGAAAATTTATTATTAAAAGTTAAAGAGTATAGCACACCTTGTATAAACTGAAAATATAAAATATTATTCTTATATATACATATAAAAATAATAGTAACATGTATACAATATTTTTTTATAAAACTATATTAAATAAAAATATATCTATAAACACACTTATAGCAATATGAATTCCATAATTTCAGTATAACTTAATAATTATTTATATAGATAAATGATAGGGTTTAATCTGGAAATACATTTTCATTATGACATACAAATCGGAAAGAATTGATATATAAATATGCATATTTTTTTTTAAAATGAATCTAATACTTGTCTTATTTTAAATAAAAAAATTACTTTTGTAAGTCAGTAGGTCAAAATCAAAATAAAATAGTTATTTCCACAATTGCTTCTTAAATCGGAGCTTATTGATTATGCATAATTAAATATATAACGATCTTTTCTATTCAATAAGAATTGAAATAAATCTTGTCTGTATATATTTTCAAATCGAATTATATAAAAATCAGAAATCATTTTTTCTATATGTGTACTTTATGATTATACGAAGTGAATATTATGGAGTAATCTTACTATTTTAACAATATTACTGACAATAATAAAATCCATGATAATAATAGAAATAATGCTAGAAATAATAAAGAATAACGGTACAATTAATTAATAAGGTATTACGAGAGTCTATCACAATTATTTAATACAATTTTTTTTTCATATGATTTATTCAATCATTTTATTAATATTATTAAAAATAAATTAGCGAAGTGATAAAATATTTGATTATTGATATTTTAGTAATTTTTTATACTACTGTAATTTCAAATTTAATTATATATTATTCCCAAAATATTAATTTC